AAAAAAAAAAAACAAGAGATGGGGTCTTGCTATATTACCCATGCTGGACTTAAACTCCTGGGCTCAATTTACTCTTAGCACTGTGGACTTCTAACTCCTTCCCAAATCTCATTTAGCCCCTCCAATCCTTCTTCGACATTGGGGTCAAAAAGATATGTTCAGAACTAAAACCTGGACCTGTCACCCCTCATTCACATGGCAAAGGCTTCCACCTGCTGTGCCCAGAGGCTCCAGCAGTTCCCACACTACCCACAAACCCAGGTACACTGAACGTCCCCCAGTTCTCAGCCAAGCCTACCTGCCTCCCACCAGCGACCTCTCCTCAAGCAGGTCCCCTCTGGAAAGCAGTGCTTCTAACATCTTAGCCTTTTTAAATCCTGGCCTGAAAATGACTTCCATGGCAACCTTCCCTGAACCTGTCAGGGCCACTGTCCTACAGATCTCACGGCCACTTGGGCTTCACAGCTATACCCGCTCTCATCTATGGTTCTCGGGTGATCTCCCCATGAGGCAGTAGCCATGTGCATTCAGCTCTCCACTGCTAACCAGCACATGCTCAGATAGCTTGGAATTAGTGAGTTTCAAGAGTTTCAAAATTCTTTGCACTCTTGTACATGATGCTTTCTGCTCATGGCACTGGGAGATCTCAGCCACTTTACTAACGGCCAGAGGAGGATGGTAGCCAACACAGTGGCCAAGGGAAGACCGGTTTGATGTGTCCTTAGCAGAGCACTTTACATAAACCTCGTCAGAATACTGGGCATTCTTTTTATACTTTTGATAATAAATCTAAAAATACCATAAAAGAATGACAGGTTCAGATGCATTTTAAAACACATTAAGAGTGATGCAGGTAAATCTGTTCAAATGGCATCCATGTGAAACAGGCTGGCCCCAACACATATCCATTTGCAGTTTCTTTCCCAATTATCACCCAATTTTCAGATAAGAAATGTGGTGAGGCCACAAATCACTCTGCATTTTGACTGGGTATAGCCTGTCAGGGTCGCCTAGACACGGATGCTGCAGTTGTGGTGGTGCTGGCCTCCATGCAAGGTCGGTGGTGGTGCTGGCCTCCATGCAAGGTTGGTATAGGCACAAAGAGGCCCTAAGCATGCCTACAAGATGGTGTTTTAACATTTGGATCCTGTTCTGAACACTTTAAGTATGTGACACCACACTGGATGCAGCCTCCTGCAGCTTGCTTTTCTGTTTCATGGGACCCACCTGTTGGTGAGCACAGGTCTGGCTCAGTCTCTAACTGCTGTGTAACAGTCTTTTCCTGACCAATCCTCTGTGTCACTAATAGTTTCTAAACAATGCTGGAATGTTCTTACCGGTCTCCTGTGCATACATGCCAGTTGCTCTAGGACACTGATTACTTTAGTCTGAACTCCTAGGCTTACTCCCTCTGTGTTAGCTGCTATAACTGAGTTTCCTGGGGAGATGGGAAACAAGTCATTAGATATTCACTAGTTAGAGAGCTGCTAGTTAGTTCTACTCAGATTAAAGCTACATGATGCAGCAGATGAGGCAAGGCTAAATAGTTATGCGTTCCTAATTCATATCCTATGTTGCTGGTTATACCTTGTTGCAATGTAAGCTTTAATCTCCTTCTCTGCAAAATATCTACCTTGTAAGTGGTTGTAAGGAGAAAACTACTTGCAATATATTTAGTGCAGGACAAGGAAGAGGGTAGATGTATCAGGTTAACTTGGGATAGAGTCTGCATCACTGTGAATTCAAATATACCTCAGTCATAAAGCAACACAGTTATTAAAACAAGTGTGAACAAACTTACTACAACTTATACATGTTATGGACTGAATGAATGCCTCTGTCTTCCTAAAACTCTTAAGTTGAAGGCATAACCCCAGTATGTCTGTTTTGGAGGTGGGGCCTTTGCAGACATTATTAAAGTTATCTGAGGTCATCAAGGTGGGTCCTTCAAGAGGCTCTCAAATGGATGCTTTCACTCCCTTGTATTGGAACTGCCCCGTGAGGACACTGTGAGAAGGTGCCATCTGAAAGCCAAGCCCTGCCCAGAAACTAAATCAGCTAAAACCTTGATTTTGAGACTTCTAGACTCCAAAATTGAGAAGAAAAAATCCCTGTTGTTTAGGCTGCCCAGTCTGTAGTAATGTTTGGGCAGTCCCAACAGTATAATATGCAATACATTTATAATAAATATACAACATACTTAGAAATATGGATGGTAATTTTTTGCTTATCATTTTTTGGTAATGGCTAATAAAGCTGTTATCAGTAAGAGTATAATTCATATATCATACAATTCCCGATTAAAAGATATAATTCTGGGCCATGCCTATGGCTCAAAGGAGTAGGGCGCCGGCCCCATATGCTGGAGGTGGAGGGTTCAAACCTGGCCCCTACAAAAAAAAAGATATAATTCCATGGTTTTTGATATAATCAGAATTGTGAAACTTTCACACATAGAATGTTTTAATTGTCTCAAAAGAAACCTCGGCTCAGCACCTGTAGCTCAAGCAGGTAAGATGCCAGCCACATACATCAGAGCTGGCAGATTCGAATCTAGCCTGGGCCTGCCAAATAACAATGACAACTACAACCAAAAAATAGCCAGGCATTGTGGTGGGCACTTGTAGCCCTAACTACTTGGGAGCCTGAGGCAAGAGAAACGCTTAAGCCCAGGAGTTGGAGGTTACTGTAAGCTGTGACACCACAACACTACCCAGGGTGACAGCTTGAGGTTGTCTCAAAAAAAAAAAAAA